CAAACATTAGGTACGTCCATTAGTATAACAACTCAATCTACAAGTTCCACATACACCCTATGGAATTCATAGCTTTAAAACAACCTCAAATAATGTAATGATATGAATTCATTCATAGTACTTTTTCAGGGCATAACCATGCAGAGCAGTCAAGGCAATATGAAGATTATGATCTAATATGGTTAACATATTAAGATAAACGATTTACCTTGTTCAAGAAAGCAATACATGAGACCGACGTTTGAGTAGAAAACGAATAAGGAAAAAAGGACAAAGAATAAAGAGCAAAAGCAAATAAAGTACCCATCATCTCCTCTTTCATCTTTTCTCTTTTCTCTGCAGCCAGTGGTTCCAAGCGGCGAATGGCCTTCCTAGCTTGGTCATTAGAAGGATCCAATTCCAATATCTTCTTCATATCTGCAAATTTTTATTTTATTTTCGGGGAAAAAAAAAAGCAACTTCAGCAATTAAAACAATTACAAAAATATATAATGCTGACACATAACCAATCATCAAGATAGGGCAATGGCTAAATTTAATAAATACTTGTAAACCTCAGAAAAATGTAAAAGAAACATACAATCAAATCAAATCTAACTCACCAGCAATAGCCTCTTCATAATGTTGAAGCTTTTCATGAGCTTCTCCTCGTCTAACAAGAGCTTTTATGTAAGAAGGATTAAGTTCCAGTGCTTTGGTACATTCCTTGATGGTTTCCTCATATTTCCCCTGAAAACAAAAATTTTTTTAATATAAAAAAGAACAGATAACTGTTCTTCAGCTTTACCCTTAAGAAGGAAAAAAAAAATACCAGCTTCAAAAAGCAAACAGCCCGATTCGAATGACAAATGGATCGAATTTCAACGGAAGTAGGCATCTCCGCCGCTACTTGCAGAGCAATCTCATACTGTAATAAAGCCTCCTCGTATTGCCCGTTTCCAAACAATTTATTTCCTTCCATTTTTGCATCATTTGCTTGTGCCAACGCTTTCTGGAAACAGAAAATTTTCAAAATTTTTAACTATTTTATTTAATTTAATGATAAATTAAGCTAAAAATGCCTTAATAAAAATGAACCTCTTTCAATTCGTCTTCGTTTAAGGCATCTTGATAAGAATCGGATCCTCTTTGTTCGGTTGGTTTTTGATCGTGGGCGTGGTCTTCCTCGTTGTCGCTGACGTCACGTTCGCTTGCTGTTTCGAATCCATCGGAGGCAGCATCTCCTCCGTGCACATTTGATGATGCGGCGGCTGAATCAGACGTCGTTGGGGATGATGATGAAGTCCCTTTCGTGGCTTCTTGATGTTGTTCAGTGTGATGAGGTTCAATCAGCACCATTTTTTCGGTAAGGATCAAAGAATCTTAACAGCCTTACACTGTAAACAAACTGACTGTTGATTTTTCGTATTACTGTGCCTTGAAGGAGAAGATGAGGAAAAATATGCACGATGATGATGAATCGTTTATTTTAAAAACATATGAGCTTCCAGAAAGCTCCTTGACGGCATCGTTTCGTTGGGCCAGTATAATGGGACTTGGCTAGATTAGGCTGGCTTTGGATTTCTGAAGGGAAGTGCTAAATGCAAATTGTCTTGGATTGGGCTTTGATTTAGTGATGAGAAATGGGGCCCATTAATATGAAAAGAGTTATGAGTCTTGAACAATCCCCTTTTACTATCATGTAAAAGCTTGCATTGCAGCTAAAATTTGACATTACATTTGGTTCGTCGAATAGGTAGAAAAAAAATAAAATAAAATAAATATTTTACAATTTGGTATAATGAATGGAATATTGTAAAAATAGTTATTATAACTTATTGTAATATTTAGTTGATAAAAATAACTTTGAAATAATAAATGAATAGATAATAAAAAATAAAAATATCTTTTATTATATATATTTTATTTTATTTTTTAAATATTAATATTTTATTTATAATCTAATCATTAATATTATAAAATACTAATATTTTATTTATAATTTAAATCTTAATTATTTATTTTTATTTTATTTTGTTTTTTAAATATTATAAATTTATTATTGATTTAAAATATTAATAATTGGTAAGCTAAATATTAGTACTTTATTTATAATT